AAGAACAGGAGTACTTGTGGCACCTTAGAGACTAACAAATTTATTAGAGCATAAGCTTTCGTGGACCGAAGAAGTGGGCTGTAGTCCACGAAAGCTTATGCTCTAATAAATTTGTTAGTCTCTAAGGTGCCACAAGTACTCCTGTTCTTTTTATCAGTCTAATGTAATTCCTGGGCTCCTTTCAGAAGAAAACTTAACTTTAGATAAAAATTACCACCATATTTAAAAGGCCCAGATTTGTTTCCATTGGAGAAATGGATAAATATATGCTGAGAACATAATTTTAATCTATTATTTAAAAGATGGCACCCTTCTTCCACTCTCCATAAAAATTCTTTGCTTTCTACTTAAAGGAACTGGGACTGTATGCTTCCTTTCTATGAAATGCAGTTAAATTATGGCATAAGGATGGAAAAACTAAACCAGTGGAACTGAATGGAATGATGGAAGTTAATGATGTTACCCCATAGGCTGTGCATAGATTCTGAATGATAATTTTGACAGTTTTCCAGAGTGACCGAAGTGTTCGGGATGGAAGCTGAAACATTTTGCTTGCTTTTGACTTACAACTAGTAAAAATATATGGATGTAATATTTACTAAAAATATTTTCCCCGCAGAGCTATGCTATGTGTTTGGGCATGGATACAAATAATGAGTTAAATCTCTTCACCTAAATATAATTAGTATTCAACATTTCAGCATTTAAGTAGTAAATTTCAGATCTCTCTTGAGACGGCGCACTGCAGTTTTCCTAATATCTAGTTACACTGTCTTGCATTCACAACTGACTGTGTGCTGGCAGCAATGCAGTATGAATGCCTAAAACCATATGACACATCCTCAATGTAGCAGAAGGGGACCATATTGCATGTAGTGAATTTAATATTAAGCAGTCACAGTCCAGCAGGTGAGATGACCAAATGAGGTTTGAAAAATAAGGATGCTACTGGCACATGTGACTAGCAGCCTTAATGCAGATAGGACATTGGAAATGAAAGCTAAAATATTTGTGGCAAATACAAATTCCAGCCTAAATATTTGTCTGTTTGGCAGTAAATAATTGGCAGAGAAAAGACACGGGTAATGTCTTTCTGTACAACTTTAGCATTCACTTACATATTGGAGAGTTGATGTAATGCTACCATGCCAAGTATCTCTGCCCTGCAGTGGCAGGGGAAGAGTAAATGCGGTCAGCCTGTCATATTGTAATGCACTAGTGCAGGGCCTAGTCAATGCTGCTGCTACTGTATTAGGATATGATAAATTCAGGTGCCGCTGGTCATGGATTAAGACAGAGAATTGCAGCACACCCACAGCTGCCTTTGTTCTTCCCTGCTGAAATGATCCTTTGGCATTCAACTGCATTTGAAATGCAAACCTATTGCAGTCTGTGAGGGGGGGGTGTTGGGGCTTATGATACAGTATGTGAATTTAGAATTGTTTAATGTGTCACAAATGTCCCATAAAATCCAGTCACTTTACCAGGTTTCTTTTGTAAACTTGAAAATATGGTGAAATTATTCCTATTGGAAGACTTAACACTGTGCTGGCAAGATTATGGAATTAACCCAGAAAATGCACTCTTCCCTCTCCTTTCAACGTTCTTAATCCTATCATTTTTGGATTAAAGTAAATATTTTTTGGGGGGAGACCTTCATATCCACGACTTGCATCTTCTAATTTAGCTGTAAAACTATTTGTCTGAGTGTGAACAAAAAAAATACCTTATTATAATTAGAGGTTATAGGAGTGCTTTTAATTGTCATTTGGTAGACTGTATTTACTGGATTAGTGCAAGCAAATTTCTTAATGGCAGTGATCAGTCATACTCTGTAACTAGGCTTTCAAATTCCCAGGCTCTGTCAGGGGATTTATTGAGTGAAAGGTCTGTGCAGATTTTGTGACCTGTTGCATTCCAAAGGTTTACATAACGGAAACTTTCTGTTGTATGTTTAGCTGACTGAGTCAGTGGACCCTGGTTCCTTTTAACTGCTGGTGGCAGAAGCCAAGCTTCTGTTAAACTATAAAAAGAAGCTTTATTCTAAATGGGAGAATCCCTTGTTGCCTGATGAAGCTACTGTTTTTGGGGTTCAATTGGCTTTAGTGAGCTGGGAATGCTTCAGACAGGTTTTCTAGAGATAAAGCTTTGGCTTTTACTAAACTTGAGTGAATGAGCGTCCTGTAGGAATGTTTCTCTTAGAATAGTTGCACAAGCTTGGCCTAAGAAAGGCGATAGACAACAATCTTGTACATGTTAAAATCCACTGAAGAAACCTTGTTGCCATCCTCTCCAGAATTGACCTTGCACAATTCTACAATACTTTGTTCGCCACATATAGCTTTCCATGTGTGAAGGGAAGATGACTGCCAGATATTTTCACACTAATCCAATGATGGATTCCTAATTCAACAATGTTAAACTAAAATGTCAGTTATAAATTGCAGGATTAAATCTATTGCCGTACTTTGGCATATATTCTTAAAGGGGCACGGTCTTTAATAATTTTTTAAAAATGCCTTCATGTTTATAAATAGCACGTCAGATTAGGATGCATCATAGAGCATTTGAAAGTTTAGTAGGTACTCTGTTTAAATTCTTAATTAAAAAGGACTGTTCGAAGAGCTTAACGTAATAAAACTGATAAATTTTTTTTTACTCATCTCTTTGATCGATGGAAATATAATCAGTGTTTAGTTAATTTCAATTCCTGGTTCTTCTAGTTAGTCCAGTGTTAGAGTCAGGGTTGCATATTTTGCAAGGAAGGCGTAGCAAATCATGCAGTGCTGCAGATATGCATTATGGGTTTTTGTGGAGAAGATGGGATTCGATTTCTGGACTGATGGGTATTGGTCACTGATGGAGCAACTGTTTCTCCTGGCCTGTGTTCCTGTCAGTATTAGACCAGACTTCCATGTTGGCAACTTGGAAGAAAGAACGTAAAACCATGCAGTTAGGTCATGAAATCTTAAGAGTTAAAAAAATTGGGGAGGATAATTGAATGGAATAGGAACACAATGTAGATGAGTGGCAAGGATAAATGAGAGAACCTGGAAATTCTGAGGGTAAGCCTATTGGTGGAGTACTTGCCACCAATACCATACTTCTGCTATATGATAAACATGGGGAAACTATTGGTGGCCATCAAGAATGATACAGGGGCTTAAAGGAGAATAATCTTAATCAAAAGAGATGGAAGATGAGGGGAAATCTTGGGAAGGAAATGAGAGGCACATTTAAATCCAGAACACTCAAACGGGAGACAGGTGCTAAAAAGCTATCTAGCTCAGTTCAGACCTCCTTTGGTTTATGGTGGACATCAGCTCAAAGGACAGTGAATATTAAGCTAGCACCAATAAACTTTTTAAAAAGAAATGAAACAGACCCACAAGATTTTCTTCAAAAAACTGCTAATGGAAAGGATTGGATCTGGGCCTGCTGACTGACTTCTTGGCATCCTTCCTTTCTTCTATTTCAGTGGTTGTGCTCTATTTTTTCTTGCTGACCTCCCTTGCGTCTCATGTTTAATTATTTTTGTCAGACATGTCAGCAAACAGCAGTATTTTCAGACTTAGAACTGCTGCTTTTATCGAACAGGCCCGAAGTTTGACAGATCAGATCTATAAATGTACATGAAGAAATATTCATTTTGTATATATTTACACTCAATATCACTCATCCTAAATTGGTCCTATTCACTGGCATTAATGCCTATTTAAAATATTGGCTGGTAAGAGGTAGCTTAAGCAGCTTAGACTATTTTTGCCTAAATTGGTCCATGATTTTAGCATTTTCCACATGTGTAATGTTGTTAAACAGTCTTCGTCTCCTCTTCTCTCCTGATGGACCAAATAACCTGTTGTTGCTTACCAGCTCCCCATTTCCTGTGCTTGGGAACTAGAGGTGCACTGATGAGATGGAATGTGTAAAAATCATTCGGGACTGTTCTTCCTTAAGATGCAATGTTTTTAGAAATAGTGTGTGCCCTGCAGTCTGAGACGGATGGAAAGTTTTACCCTCCCTTAATGCCATCCTGGTTCCCACTATGGTGGTGCCTCTTGCATGTGACAGTAACAAGGCATATATGTCATGCATTCATACCGCATTCAAGGACCCCTTTGCAGGATAGATACTGTTTGGAACTGTACTGCTATGATACAACTGGAATAAATATAGGCATTTGAAGATCTTGTCATGAAGAAGGCTTATAACTAGTCCCTGGAGTTTATAGGGCTAAATACCAGAAGTAGCAAATTTGCTGACTTGTCTAGATTTTCAACCTATTGCTGCTGCAATGGAAGTGTTCCATTTTTATACATGTCCACATGCTACAGTCAAAGAATGAAAATAGTGTTAGCAGGTAAACTAATTAAACTCCAATTGCTACTTTGAAAATTGGCAGTTTGAGTATGTGTGCGCACATGTGGCTGAGACTAAGGGAAGTTTTCCACTGGACACCTACAATAGCTAATCTTTTTTTATTACAAGTGGTAAAATAAGATCTTTGTGGCTGGAATAAACTCAATCAGAAATGTTGATCTAATCTCTGTTTGCAAATCTTTTTTTTCTTTCAGATGGGAGGAGGAACTGGCAAAGCGAACGAATCTGGAGTCTATGGTGGAAACCTTGCAAGAGGTGGGTTTTGAGTGGGTTCTGGACTTTCCTAGTACTGACCACCATTCCTCCAACTCTTGAGCTAAAATACTTTATAGTATAGGTTTTTCCCCTTTAATCTGGTAATTTAAAATTAATATTTTGTCTGGATTAATTACTCTTTGATCCTAAGAGTCTTGATCCCTTGTAGTTATGGCAGCTGAATTACCTCATGCAGGATAGAGGTGTTAATATTTGAAACCTTAGGCTGCTTGATGCTGAATTTTATGACTGAAGCAGGAGGAGTGCCTTGATTCACCTAGTTCAATCTTCAAGCAATGCATCTTTATTCTTCAGTATATGCAATAAATGGGATGTTAATCCTGTATCCGTTCTTTTGCAGAAGGCAATCTCTTAACTTAATGACGGTAAAGGGTTGCTTCTTATGAGTGTTCAGCTACAGTAGTCCACAAGCCATTAGCCTCTCATCATCATGAGAACCCTTCTTAATAGAACAAAACCAATCCCCGAATTGGGGTTCTCTTAACATTGGAAGTACCTAGTGTTCAGACTGAAGTAGGGGAAAATATGCTGATATGATGCAACCCCTGGACCACACGCCATCTAAACATTCTCCTCTCCTTCACTCCCACTATGCTCTTGGTTGAGCAGCAAGGTAGGCCAGTCCTGAAACTCACCCATGCTCCCTCCACCACTTGCATTTGTAGCGTAGCAGTGGGGCTATTGAGGTTGGGGCAGGTGGTACGGGCTACCGGCTATTTTCCACCTCTGTGAAGCTTAGCAGTTAAGTAAATGCTTCCAGATATTTAGCTCTTTCCTTATTTTCTCTCTCCTAGGAGGCTCAAGAGGCTGAAGCTGTCCAGGAAGAGTTAAATGAAAAGATTGAGCGGCTGAAAGCAGAGCTTGTTGTCTTTAAGGGTCTGATGAGTGATGTAAGTACCCTGGGAAACAGAGTGGCCCATCCCCACCTGCTTTTGTGAAATCTCTGTCATGCAAATGGCTTCATTCATAAAAAGGTTATGGTTTTAATGAGTGCTGCTTTGTAGTTAGTATTATGGCTGCCTTTATGATCTAATGCATCAGACAGATCACCCTCACTCCCCCCTCTCCCCCCCCGCTTCCTGTCTGGTCTGTGTAGAGATGCATTAAACTTGCTGCTTAGCCCATAACCCTGACTTCCCGTTCCCTTCTCACCAGCTAGCAACGACCTCATTCAAATCTGCAGCCTTTGAAATGATGCATTGGAGAATCCACATGCTATTAGGGTAAAAGTTCAACCATTATGCAGCCATTGGTACTCTTATTATACAGGGTGCTTTTGATTTGAGTCGTACAAGCAGTTATTGTCAGAAAGGAAATCTAAAATGGCAGTCCCAATTCTACCTTTGTGAAAGGCTCTTATCGAGACTATCCCAGTTTCTGTGTCATTGGTTCCAGGATATGGCTTTGTCTGCAGTGCTGCGGTCTCCTTTTAGAAAACTTATAAACTGTGTATATCTCTGGAGTTCTACCATTGTCCTCTTTGAGTTTATAATTTCCCCCAAAGCTGTGGGATCTGGTAATGTCATGACTGGCAGTTTTGAGAACTTTATCTTACAGTCTGGCTATAGTCCTAGCATATTGTCTGACTGTCAGTGTGTAGGGCTAGTGTGCATAGGTGAGAGGAAAATGCGTAAGTAAGATAAAAGAGCAGGATTTTAAGGTTCACCTGGCTTCTCTTTTACTGAAGAGTTGCTGATGCCAGCAGTGTAGTGAAGATCAATCATGATGCATATCTAGTCTGTAATTTTATAAGAATTTTATTCCCCCTACCCCCCCCCCTCCCGCACCCCCAGTCTGATACAAACTTGCAGAACCTGTTCCCTGAAGTCACATCCATTCTCTCAGGGCTGCTAGGCCTACTCCTAAAAAATTCAGCCATTCACTGGCCCCCTCTTTGGGTGGTTCATCAAAAATAGAAATGCTTGCTGGATTAAATACAGTCTGAAGGAGAGCAATTTAGAGAGACAATCTAGGTGAGGTAATATATTTTATTGGCCCAACTTCTGTTTGGAGTAAGCTTGTCTCTTTCACAGAGTTCTTCTTCAGGTCTGGGAAAGTTACTCAGAATGTGAGCTATTTGTTAGAGCTGCATCCTTCCCCTGTAATTTTCTACTGTGCATCCTGAGGGAGGTAGTGAATACAACATCCTGTTGTAGTTGAAGTACAAGTGCTTCCTCCAGCCTTTCTGGGCTCTGCAAGATGGAGCTAAATAGAGTGGTAGAGAAGGCCACAAAGCTGTGTGGAAAGCCGTAACTGTTTTTGCATAGTTACCCAATGATATTCAGGACAAAAAATGCCAAACTAAATGACTTGCAGGTTATGTTTTTTGTCCTGTTGACAAACTGCACAGATATAAATACTCTTTATCAAAACTTTTGTCAAATGTTTTCATGTTCGTGTAGACATGTTTTTTCTGAACACAAACATTTTGATTAAAAAAAATCTTCTCTAGTCTACTTATGTTTCATGTGGAGAAAGATTACCCTGGATGGAGGACATTAAAAACAAAACAAACCTTTCTGATTTAGTTAGCAAAAGCATTTCCACGTGGAAGGTGGTGCTTACAGAGTAATACACGTCTCTGACTGTTTTCCCAAATTCTATGTGAAAGTAGGCTATCATTTGCATTCAGGCCAGTCCTTCCCAACACAGCATAGGTTTTCTAGCACAGAAACTCTACAGTTATAAATGGAGAAAATCTCCTCAGTCATGCAGCAACATTGCCAATGGGGAAGGAGGAGCAGCTACTTACAAATAATATATTTGACTTCTGTCTAATGTGCAGCATGATATGATTCAGTGGCATACAGTTCTCTGCTGGGACAGAAGACAGATTAATGTGGGTATTAATTTTGCTCTGTACTAAACTCACATGGACGTCTATAGACTAGCCCTGTTTTAACTTTTTTGGTGATATATATGAAGTTGGTGCACAATTTTTTCAGAGCAGAAGCTGGCTAACTTTTCTTTACAATGAAGTGCTAACTTCCTATCTGAAGTGGGCAAAAATGATGAAGTATCATCAAATCCCCCATCTTGTTGTTTGCTTGTTTAACAGGTTTAAGTCTTTTCCCCTCCATTTCATAGCTTCACTGAGTCCATAAGGGTTGACTTTTGCTGGGTTTAGGACTCTGTGCTGTGGGAATGAGTATCTCAGTAGCTAGTGTTCATTCTCAAACACTTGTATTTGTTGGAATCAGATTTGAAAGTGTTAATTCCAGTAGTTGTCTAATCTAGACTATCCTTGTGCTGCCTTTCCCTGGAGAACAGGCTCAATGTGATATAAGAATGGTGTGCTCCGGGTTTATAGAGATACAGTGGGTATCTCTTCTCTCCTGAACTGTGTAACAATAGAAGATAATCCACTACTGTCCTTCCTGCAGCCCATGACAGACCTGGACACAAAGATCCAAGAAAAGGCCATGAAGGTGGACATGGACATCTGCCGTCGAATCGATATTACAGCTAAGCTGTGCGATGTAGCACAGCAGCGCAACTCTGAAGACGTTTCCAAGATATTCCAGGTGATTAGGCCCTGAATTTTCTGTAGGGCAGGACAAGATGGCAGTATGGGGGGAGGGGGGGGAGAAGAGAGGGAATGTTAGGGAGTTTAGTTCAGGCTCAAACTTCATCCAATATTCTCAACTTCTTTTGAAATTTCTCCCCAGTAGACTTCTTTTCTTCCTGAATCTATCTCCAGTTGTAGCAATGATCCACATATTAAGACTTGAGAGTTGATAGAAAACCTTCCAAAGAGAGCTCAGAATGTTCTCTGAAAAATACTCTTAAAGTTTGGTGGTAGTTTACAAGTAACTGTACAAGAAAGCATCCTGGGATTCCATGTTCATCTAAACAGTTCCATCAGATTTGCTCTCTTCACACGTAAGAGGATTTTAACTTCATGCACCGTACTTGCATCCTGTGATTTCCAAGTTGAGTCCTTATTTTTGGCTCATACACCATGATGAGAAATAAATAAATTCTGTGACTGATGGTTAGTTAACTACAATTACTCTGATATGTGAGGGTGAATAGAATACAGTTTACTTTCCCATAGCTATATTGGCTGTGCAATACTAACAGGGGAAAAAGAGTAACTTATTTTGCTCCAAAAGTAGGCAGTGTTAGCTCAAAAAACAGAGCTATTGAGTGATTGAGTGCCTTTAGCATAGCTTCTTCTTTTTTTTTTAAATCATAACTGCATTTTAAATTGATCACTGGCCCTTCCAACTTACCTCAACTTCCCTTTCTGTCTTCGAATAAATAGGTCTGACTTTTTAACTCTTTCTAGTACAGTAGCTACTTAGGGCTGCACTGTACAAACATTAAAAAAAAAAAAAAGTCCTTGCCCTTTTCTTGAGACTTTCACATGGATATGTCTTAAATGTGGTGAACAGTAAACTCTCCTCCATTCCAAATCAACTTTTTAATATGTCTTATAAAATGCTTAGCTAAGGTAAACATGAGTTTTCATTAGCTTTTTGGGGGGGTAATCTGGACAGAAATTGATTCAAATTTCCTACTTGATGGGGGGAGAGAATTACGGCTATCCTGTGTTCATCAGTATTCCGTTCTAAAGAGAGATCTTGTCTTTTAACTTTGATAAGTGGTAAAACTGTGCTACTGCTCTAAACCGAGTACACAGGTTTGATCAAGTATGCAGTGGTTAAAATCATTAGCACAAAGAGCAACACCGGTTCTGAATGGTTCAGTTAGCAATTAGTGAAAATTAAAGAGGAGATTTGGCATTTATTTTGTGCTTTAGATGTGTTCGAGACGACATCACACCATCTGTAAATTCTCATGACTATTTGTGCCGAAGTCCCACGGGACAAAAGAATGATCCTTCACTTTGCAGGGTTAGCTTTGGGGTCTCTTTGCACATCTATCAACTGCATTTATTTTGGGTTCAAATATTTTCACAGTTCAGTTCCCACATATCTCTTGTACTGTCAGAGTGATGACTAGCAATCTGTGCCTGTGATAGTGGGGTGGGAATAGCAAAGTAATCAAGATTACCTTTAAAAGAGTGTTGTGTACTTTCCGTGAGTGTTCATCTCTGAAAGCACCAGGCTTGTGATGGTAGTGGCAAGAAAGGGAGACTGTCATTGCTCTCAAGCCTGCTGCCTGGGCATTCTCGCCAGCTTATGCTTGGTTCCTGTATCGTTCTAGCCTTCGCATGCTCTTCTGTAGCCCATATAATGTTGCCGGCGAGTACATCCTGTATGTAGAGCTCTGGCAGTCTGCAGCTTGCTTTGCTCTGTGCCATTTTGAACTGCTTCCTTTTGCTCTACGTTCACCACTTCTTAACAGATGCGATTCCTGTCCTTAATGCGTGCAGTCACTCGCGCACCTGAATCACTGGGTACTGTTGAACCATTATCTTCCACCCAACCTAACACCTCTCCTTTCTTATCTCTGCATCCTTCGGTGCAGCACCTCAGTTGAACCTTCCAGTCACTGCCCTTCTCTCCGATTAAGGTGGCTTCCAAAAAGAAAGAACGCAAGCTAACATCGGACGATGACCTCTCTGAGCAGGATGGAGACAACAGCAGATTATCAGATGACGAAGTCAGCTGTTCTCTGAACATCACAGATGAAATGAAGCGAATGTTTAATCAGCTGTGAGTATTCTGTAGAGTATGATGTCTTTATTGTGGGACTTTCAGGCAACTGAGATCCCAAATTCAGATGATTTTTGTTGTTGCAATCCAAGACCCCAGTGTGTTTCCACAAACTTTCTAAACCTCCAATAGAAATAGTTTTTCACCAAATATTCAGCATTAGTTGAACTCAGACTGCAGAATTTTGGTAGTGCATAAGATTCTCAGTGAAATTTAGATATAAACAAAAGTGTAACTGAACAGTTTATTTTCACTGTCCACACTGAGTAGAATGCAGAAGCAAATAGCAATAAATAGTGAAATTAGACTTCTAAACTTTTATTTAATAATCACCCTGCTTGTAGCTAATGTGTAGCATGCTCAAGAATGAAACTCTGCCCTTATTTATATGGTCTGGCATAAATGGTAGAGATTTCCAGAGCTGAGATTTTTTTTTCCCCTGCATCTGCCTCTTTGTCTGAATGGAGTGTGAGAAGTAATTGTTTTTCCTTAACTTGTTTGCTAAAAGCTCAGTTCATGATATGAATACAGAATTTCTGCAGGAGGGTTTGGAATTAACTTTAGCCAACCATCATGGCGATTCTGTCTAGGAACTCCAACACCAGAATACCTAGTTATGGATATTAAGGACACTAATGCTGGAACCGTTTTGCTCAGGACTGGTGTGATCTTGCGGATTAGAATTAGTAGGGCAAATTCCTGCTTTAACTCCTCCCCTTCCCCCCAAAGTTGAGGTGGTGGTAGCAGAGCTATAGCAGCCTATCAAAAACTCCAGAACCATCTTGCTGGTGGTGCAGGACAAGATAGTTCAGGAAGTCTGGGGGCTATGAGCTCTGCAGTGCTCCTTACTGCCTCTCCAGAGAGGGTTGGCATGTGCTTCTCTAGCATCTGCCACCAACTGTGGCAAGCATGCTCTGGGGGCTTTGTCATGTACTCCCAGCGCCTCTCCCCTCCCTCCCCGCACCTCCTGATCAGCTGTTTTGTGGCGTGCAGGAGGCTCTGGGGGAGAGTGGGAGGAGCGAGAGCACTGCAGGCTGAGGGGAAGGGGCGGGAAGGGGTGGAGTGGGAGCAGGGCCTGTGGTAGAGCCAGGAGTTGAGCAGTGAGCGCCCTCCAGCACATTGGAAAGTTGGCACCTGTAGCTCCAGCCCCAGAGTCAGTGCCTATACAGGGAGCTGCATATTAACTTCTGAAGACCCACATGTGGCTCTAGAGCCACAGGTTGGTCACCCCTGTACAAGATAGTAAATTTCATAATCTCTGGAGTTCAGGCTTGTTGCTTTCTGCCCTGGTTGGCTGCTACCAAAATAGTCACTATAATGCTTTTCAAGTCTTACATAATGGGAACTCCCTGAGCTGGAGAGCTGTTGGTGGCTCCCTTATTAGTGCCACTCCAAACATGGACCTTAGGTGCTCACTATCACCTCCCCCGGCCCTCTTCTCCTTGTCAATATTCAGCCAACTGTAGTTCTTTCATAGTGTAATAGAAATGCAGTTTAGGTTTCTTTACTTCTTTCATTGCTGAAATTCAATGTGCTTAACTGCAAGCCAACAGATTATTTTTGTGGAGTTTTTAGTAATTAGCATTTACAGTATTATACTGAAAACATGATACAAACACTAATTCCAACACTAGTTTAAAAAACAAGAAACTTAAGATTTGATTTGTATGGTGAAGTCCTCTTAATGCTCTGTCTCTAATACTCTCCTAATTAGCAAATAAATCTTCCAAGTCCACAACACACACACACTTTACAAAACTTTCTATTGGGGGTGGGGTGGGGGGGAGGACTCATTTGTGACATCATTCTGAAGATCCTTGGGTATGACACTAACCCCTCTTCATTGTGTCTTTCTTATCTCTTCCCACACAGCCAGTCATGCTGCTGGTGTGTTTTTTGCTTTCCTTTTTCCTTTCAGTGAATTACTGATGCAAGCTTTGCAGTAATTTATGGCTTCATTATTAAAATGCAACAGGCTTCTACAATGGTTGTTTTTATAAACTTGATTTAATAAGAAAAAACTCTTGTATCAGCAGCAGCACCTAGAAATCCTGTCATTAACTTCAAATGTGGTTGATCTAAATAACACTGAATGGTCATAGGTTCATCTAAGTGACCTGTGATAAACAAAGGTATTTCAAACTTGCACCCCTTAGGTTTTGTGGCAATGGATTTGTGGGTGGGAGGTGCGGGGGATATACACCACCAAATAATCTGACTCATACCAACACCAGAGATGAAAATAATTCGTTTTTTTGAGCTGTAATTAATGAGGTGCATCATTAAAGCACTGTTACTAGTGAAAGTTCCTGAGTATTCAAATAAAACAAATAACTATCTTTGAACAATGAATACTGCTAAAGTTGGCAACAGTTTAAATTGGGTGGTCTTTGTCTTTTCAAACAGTGAGCTCTTAGAGTGAAAAGAACTATGATTGAACAGACTGTGAAGGCCGGGTGCATTAAACTAGAAGTTTTAAAAATAAGCAAGGCTGGTCATCAGTAGACGTACATTCCCTGCCTGTCCTCTTGCCAAATTCTTTAACTTTTTCATATGATACAGAGTTGGACTCAACTTGTTGGCTTGATGTGATCATCTTAAAAGGAAATGAACTCAGGAAACAAAAATATGTCTAAGCCTGAAACAAGAGAGCAACTATAAAACAAGAAGCCTTTTTTTTTTTTTTTTCAGGCTCTGCTTTAACAAGGAAAAGAAAGTAGCTAGAGTAGAATTTCCATTCTGCTGCAGTTCAAGTGTCTCAAGTCTCTTCTTTCTTGTAACTCTAATTTACTTAGTAACTGCCCAAAATAAAGGGACTCCATCAAATTAAAAATTATTGCAGGCTATTTTTAACCTATGTTAATGAAACTATTACTCAAAATGGAATTTAAATGAGAAAATAAACAGGATTTTTTACTCATGCGGTTTTGTGCCTCTGTTTGGAGAATGAAAATCAGTGGAGTCTATTTAATTTGTTCAGTTGGTCTCTTATTTGGAACTGCAACATTTGATTTGCAAGTGCTGTAGGCGGAATGTTTGTGTAAAAACTTTCCATTTGACACTTTAAAAAAAAATCCATGGGAACCATTCTATTGGCCTTTGCTTTTGGGAACATTTAAAACTACATTTTCAGTCAAACTTGATTTCTTCCTACGTAACAGAATAGTTTAAAACATTCTTGTGGTTTAGCAACTGTTCAGTGCTGAAATAGCAAACTTAAAGCACCATCTAGAGGCCAGAACTGGAATTGTCTGTTTAAAGTAGAATGAATGTTGACAAAATTCCAGTACTCTGTTGCAGGTGGGGAGAAGCCCAGTGTCAGACCCTTGCAGACAGAGCAGCACAGCCTGTTTTTAATAGCCTTTAGATTTTTCAGCTGTTGCATTGCTGTTTCTCTTCCTTTCCTCCTATAGTTTTAATGTAGTGTTTTAAGCCTGTTCTTTTGCAGGTATTTCCAAGACTCTGGAAAGACATGGTTTGAAATAATTTCTACCCTTTTTTCTTTTTACTGCTCTTTTAATAGGCGTGAGACATTTGATTTTGATGATGACTGTGACAGTTTAACATGGGAGGAGAATGAAGACACCCTGCTTCTCTGGGAAGACTTCACAAACTGCAATCCTTCAATTGACCTTCAAGGAGAAGTGAGCTGAGTTGTTGTGTGTTTTACTTGTTTCCCATTTATTTCCTTCAGGGGATGGCATACTGCAGCTTATCTTGTATAGCCACTCTCCGCCTTTGGATCTTTGGCTGGTGATCCAGTTTGCCATGAAAACTTACTTTTTCAGATCCTCTTGGCTTGCTTTCTGATACTGATCTATCCTCCATCAGTCTTGTCTGTTTGCTCCCTCGAAACCTAAATATAACATTAAAAATAAAATACAAGGCAAAAGGAACTAAAAAGATACTTTTTAAAACTAATGCCTCTGATGATCTATTGCTGTAAATATTATCCTTCCCATTCTCTCACTTGCTCATCATCCCTTGAAGTCATTTAACTACCTTTGGCTGTAAGCGCCTCCACTTATTCCATTACTGAGTAGTATGACAGCTCTGGGTGAGTAGGAATTCTGCCTTCCCCCACCCCATCACCACTAGAATATAAAGATGCTGAGGCAGCTGTCTCCTGAATATTGTCTTGTGTTGACTGCCGGGAGTGTGTTAATTTACATCTTTCCATTTGTGTATCATATGGCACATGCTGAAACTGCAGAGATTACTTAAAAGAGCTAAGACTGCAGAATACTGCATATTTAGCTATATGTCTTCTGGTGAGCCGGGAGAGTGCCAGAATGATAAGGTAATGTGGCTGTGTGCTGGAATTAGTGACAGATTATTTGCATATAGCCATGTGTGCATGTATAAGCTCAGTTATCAGTGGCATATTACAGAACTCAGACCTTCTGTGGTGTAACTCTAAAGGTTTTAAGAGGCTTAAATCCTTCTGAATGAATATTACACAAGGAAAGGGTAGATTTGCCTTGTAGATGGAGATTCTGAATTAAGACGGACTGTTTGAGTATGTGCCTGGGCTTTAGCATCAGAGTGGTTTACATGCCTGAGTCTCCCCCAATAGAGTTCTTATTCCACACCCCAGCCACCTTCATTTGTGGCCTACTTCCTTAAAATCCTTTTGCCTGGAAAAAAAGAAAATGGGATAACTCTGGTAAATCATCGGCCCGCTAGCCTGACATCGATCCCAGTTTCCCAGGCAAACTCATGGAAAGGCTGATATGGATGCAATATTTAAAGAATTAAAGGATGGTAGCGTAATTAATGCCAATCATCATAGTTTTATGGAAAATAGGTTTTGTCAAACAAAATTTAACTGTGATGGTATACTTAGCCTTCTGTAGGGCATTTGATTTAGTCCCTTTTGACACTGATTTAAAAAAAAAGGGGCATTATACTGAAATCAATGTTACTCATATTAAATGGATTAAAAACTGGTTAACTGATAGGTCTCAAAGTAATTGTAAATGGGTAATTGTTATCGAGTGGGGTTGTTTCTGGAGTGTCCTATAGGGATCTGTTCATTTCTCAATGTTGTTTTATATCTTCATCAATGTTCTGGAAGAAAATTGCAGAGTACACAAATTGGAGTGGTAAATAATGATGGGAACAGGTCAGTTGTACAGACTGATTTGAACTGCTTGGTGAGGTGGGTTCCTTTGAACAATGTGTGTTAATAGTCAGACCATTACTGGATTCTGCTGTGTCTATTTCTGGTGTCAACACTTCAGAAAGAATGTAGAAAAACTGGGAAGGGTTATTAAAGAGCTAAAAGAATGATTCAAGGTCTGAAAAATATGACCTTTTGTGAGAAACTTACAAAGCTCCATTTAGTTTGTTTATCCAAGAGAAGATTAAGAGGTAACTTGATCATGGTCTTCCTATATGGGGAAGAGATTTTTGATGCTAGATGGCTTTCTAATCTAGCAGAAACAGTATAATGGAATTAAATGATTGGAAGCTAAAACTAGACAAATTAAGCGTGAGGGGAACTAACCATTAGCACAACTTACCTAGAGATGTGATATACTCAGTCATTTAAAGTGTTTGTTTAAAGGCTAGATGTCTTTCTTAAAATCATAGCTCAAACAGAAGTTATGGGCTTGGTACAGAAATTTGCTGGCTGAGATTCTCTGGCCTATGTTATGCAGGTCATCAGATGAGATGATCAGAATTGTCTCTCTTGGTCTTCAAAGCTGTTAATCCTTCTTTGTACAACACCTAGCACAATGGGGTCCTGGTCCAGGACCACGGCTCATAGATGCTATGGAAATACAATAATGCATCATAATCGTTCATCTTTTTGTGCTAATCCTTTCATTTGTGGAGCCTTCCTCAATTCATGACTCAGACTACTTCTTCTTCACTCAAACTTTAAAAATAAAAAGCCCCATGTGGCTTCCATGAAGCCTTCCAGTAATCTACCAAAATAGTTCCAGTATTATGGGTGGTTTGTCTGGCACTGGCTACACTGCTAGTGTTTATTCAGTGTAAACACTTTGGAGCAGTGGATGTCTCTCCTGCCTATACAGTGCCAAAATCACGGAGACTCAGTAAATAACTTAATCTATAAGCCAGATTTCCAAAGCAGTATTTCTTGTTTACAAATAAAGTAACACTTCTGAAAAATTATTCCAAACCATAATTAAGGCTAAGATTTTGTCATGGTTACGGGCAATAAAGTAAAATTCACGGAAACTTGTGACCTGTCCCTGACTTTTTCTAAAAAAAATCCATGATAAAATGGGAAGGAACTGGGCAGCAGCGGGGTGGCTGGGAGCTCTGGGGCCCCCACCACCCATGGGGGCTCAGAGCTCCAGAGTCCCCCAGGCCCCAGTAGTGGCTGGGGAGCTGCAGGGGATCCCCCTGTCCTCTGTGGCTGGTGGGGAGCTGTGGGGTACCCCTGCTGCCCATGGCAGCTGAGAGCTTGGCCCACTGCCTGAGGTGGCGGGGGTACCTCACGGCTCTCTGTCACTGTGGGAGGCGGCAGGCCCCTGCAGCTCCCAGCCACCAGGACTGAAGTCATGGCGGTCTTTATTAGTCACGGAGTCACTAAAAGCCAGATTTTTAGTTCTTTAGGTGCCTAGTGGGATTTTCAAAAGTATCTAAGCACCCACACCCATTGAAATCAATGAGTTTTGGATGCTGAGGGGTGTTTGAAAATCCCACTAGTGCCTAAACACCTTGAAAAATGTGACTCTATGGGACAAATCCTGAAGCAGTTATCCACAAGCAGTCATAGTGGATTAAGGGTGGGGTAGGGAGCTAGTTGTGTAACTAAAGGGCTACGTGGTTGGGACCTAAATGAGCAATTCCATAAACCGTTTTAATCTGTCCTCACTAACTGGCCTGTAATGTTCTTCTGTAGCAGGAGGAGAATCTGGGAAACTTGATCCATGAAACAGAATCTTTCTTCAAAACAAGAGACCAAGAATATCAGGAAACAATAGGACAGATTGAGGTGAGAAAGTGCTCTCCTGTGAAAGAAAAATACTCTGCGTAAGGGTTTATTCACCAGCTTAAAAATCTGTTATGAACATTGTGGGTACTCCTTGGCCCAAACTGTGCGCTCTGTATATGGATTGTGTATATGTAACTGCAGAACTTGACTCTCAGCATCATACGCAGTAGGGCACATCCCTCCTCCGTAGCGCAATAACCTACCTGAGACTCTACTATCTAGAGTGAGTATAAAGTTGTAACTAGTGGGTAAAGGACAGCTCAGACGAGTATAAATAAAAATACATGGAGATTTTGCCAGTTTTCTTCAACATCCTTTGTGTCTCCTTGGGAAATCCCTCTAGTTGCTAAGGCATGATTTCTGAGAATGCCAGGCTGCACTAGTATAGCTTCTCAAGATCTTTATGCTCCATCCACGAGCCATAAAATATAAATAGCATCTCACAGGCAGCTTTCAGGTTTAAGGAATCGCTGTACATTGACAAACAGGTGCAAACAATTAGTAGCCGAGAGCTGTTGAAAGCAGCAAAACTAAACAGGATTGCAGTACTGGGCAGAAGCTGATAAATATGGTAACCTCCGATAAGATGGAAAGTAAGGCTGCCCTGTGGACCTCATGAATGTGTGAGGAATAGGTTACTGGAGTGCTTGCATGACATTCAGTATGGCAACAACCCGTAAAACTGGACAGGACGGGGATTTAGCAAGTCTCCTTGTTATATGCTGACCACTGACCCTTGTTTTGGACAGCTGGAGCTAGCCACAGCCAAGAGTGACATGAATCGCCACCTCCACGAATACATGGAAATGTGCAGCATGAAGAGGGGCCTGGACGTACAGATGGAAACCTGTCGTAGACTTATCAAAGGCTCGGCTGACAGGTAAATAGGATGTTCCTTGGTTCTCTGCTGTTCTCTAAGAACTCCTCCTGCAGACACATTGCCTAACAGTCCATTAAAAAGCAGTTAAGTAAAATACTTCCGGTTGGTGCTTGCTTCAGTTTGGAAAGGAAATTTTTCGCACCTTCCAAAGAGGCTTGATGCTCACTGTTGTGTTGGAAGACTTGTATGTCATTTGCGCTCTCAGCTTCCACATCCCTATTGTAAAACGGGGCTAGTGATACTCACATTTGTACAACACTGAGAAGTGCTAGGTTTCACTATTAATACTCATTAGAAAATTTAAGTCCAGATACAGTGACACAGGACACTTTTTTTACCTTACTTGAGGATGGAAAGGGACCCTTTTTTTTTCTTTTCTTAAAATTAACAGAAAGCAGTGTTTAACAGCATCACTTGCTGAACTTTGTCTAAATCTTTCTTTGCAGAAATTCTCCATCTCCCAGCTCTGTAGCCAGCAGTGACTCAGGAAACACAGATGAGATTCAAGATGAGTTTGACAGAGAGGCGGACGTGGAGCCTATGGTCAGCTGATACATAATCAGAGCATTCCAGTGAAAGGGAAAATACAGAAAGGAAAAAAAAAGTGAAAAAATAGAATACTGACCGAACAGACTAATAAGCCCTGGCACAGGGTTCCTGAGGACTCATTCCGATACGCATCCCCACCCCACCTGAGGATTGGTGCTGTACATTTCTACTGTTCTACCAATTACAAATGCAGAATTCTGTAAGAAAACATGGTGTTTTAATGGTGCCTTTGCCCCAAGCTGAGCCACTTTGAGCTCTAATAGAATATTAATAGCAGGTGTTTTTTATAAGAAAAATAAAAAGGGGGAAAAAAAAATCTGGCCGCAGCAGAGAATGGTGCTGCAAATGTTTTGGGTGTTTCAGTAGGCTTATGACTTACTGAAGGGCTGCACTGATTGGCGAAAGGATCATGGACCACAACACAATTGCAGTATAATTACCACAGTTGTTTGGCAAAAAAAAAGGGAAAAAATGTAAACACCTCCAAATGTAGCTGTTAACCCCATTTAAAAATAGCAGTGGGTTAGAGGCAGACTTTAGGCTCATGCAATTATAAGGTATCTAAAGGAATCTCTTTATGCCATCTGTCTGGGTGGAGGACCTTTGGAATCTGCACAAGCTTTTTGCCTAGAATCCCAAGAAGCAGTTCTCAGCTCGGTGGCAAAGTAGATGGACAAGGTACACTGGGGTGGGAATATCACCGTTAAACTACTATGCAAAAAAAAAAAGCTTGCCTTATTTATACGGAATGTTTGGTCCCTGCTGGACTAGAGTTATCTCTTGGTGGAAGGAAAGCTAAAAACACAGTTGCACATGTTAGTTATCTGTAGAGCTTCCTTTGTGGAGGAATGTCTGTTATAATGCCTTTGTTTCCTGGGATGGGATTAGGAGGGGGATCAGCCCTTCAGTTCCTGAATTTTTTTTCCACCATAATAGTTGCAAGTCCTACTTTACTGTCTGGGAGATAAGCAGCATAAAATGCAGTTTCATGAGCAGCGTGGTTGAAGCGCCAGGGTAAACTGACACACTATGCTATAGATGTAGGCTTGAGATGTGACGACATTACAGACCACTGTTCTTTGGAAAAGCTGAAAATACTGTAATCCTTTTTAGGGCACAGTAAAAATGAATCCTAACTACTGCTGCTCTGGAATTAGGGAATAACAGCCATGTGCTTTCTCCGTGAGAAAGCAAGTAGACCTAGGCCTTACGTGTCTGTTCCTCTGTATTTTAAACCAGAGAAAGCAGCATCAAAAGTCTAATTTATTTACTTTCTATTCAGGGAGCTAGTGGCATGAGATGGGCTGTTCTTGGTTATAATTAGGAATTGTCACAGCTGAGCCAAGAGAAAAGGGGAATGGAAATCTCTGACTTTAAGTAAGCGGAAGACAGTACCAGATTGTTTTGCAGGCTACTGTTGAAGACATAATTAATAGCTCTTAGAAGTAACTATGTAGCTAGTAACCATTTTAAGATTTAGAGACTACATTTCAAATGATCATCTCTCTCCCTCCCCCCCCCCACTTCATGAAACTCTTCCCACAGGGGTTTGAAAATACTGGGAGTGGGAGTGTTTTTCTTCCCATATAGATTGGACAGAGAAACGTCCGGTTTTAGCATCCTCTCAGCGTTAAGTGGTGGTGAGATGGCTGTTCTGTACCCATCAACTTGAAATAAAATCAGGGGGATGGCATTGTGAGCAAACAAAATCTAGTACACATCAGAGTGCTGCTTTCTCTATAACAGAGCACAAGCCTCACTAAAGTAGTGTCTGTATAAGGCCTCTTGGAATTTTGCACAACTTGCTTCACTTTGGGGGCAGTGTAACCCTGACAGATCCTTGCTTGTAGAGTAGCTTTGTGTACAGTACCATCTTATTGACTCTGGTTCCATGCATTGCTGCCTGTAGTTCTTTCATCGCTCTTCCTGTTGAGTGTCCTGTAGCTGACTTCTTAGACCCAGACTGAATTGTGTGGGCCATCTGAAACATATGGCCCCCCATATCATTCCAGGTGGGAAGAACTACTGTGATGAGACCCTTCGGGATCCACAATGTGAGTTTAAATTACTCCCGTCCACGAAAAGAACTGTAATGCAAGGACACACTATTAATTTTACTTGCTGTTTGAAACATTCAAGCCACTTGTGCATAATCTCTTGTTAGGAACTCTTTTATCAATCATACTGTACCTCAGTGGCCTTTTTAAAATGTTTCATTACATGTGTAATTTTGTGCTTAGGTCTTTTTTAAAAGAAACCTGTATTCCAAAGTGCTCATTCCTAGCATCTCTTATCTAGCCAAAGCAGTAAATTATGTTCACTAGGAGTGGGGTTTGCGGGTGGGGTGAAAAATACGTGTCAGTCATGCCCTTTTGATAAGGGAGTGGGACTCCATGTTTTCAGTTCAAGTATTTTTAAGGTTACCAAGCCTCTTTGAACCTCAGCTGCTAAATATATTCGGTTTCTCAAAAGGTTGAGAGACCGCCTGCCAAAGCTGAATGTTTGTAGTTAGTACTCTAGTGACTTTGGAGGAAACGTTTATAACAGGAGTTTGCTCCTGTAGTGAGACAACCTTCCTAGAGCCTTCCAGTCAGCTGTCCTCAGATTATGAAACCTCTTTTGTAGTGGAGAAGTTGAACAGTTTAAACAGCCGTCCTACGCTGCTGCTGCTGCTGCTTTCTTTGTAAAATGCAGTGTCCTGCCAGGAGACTGGGTCAAGGTTTTACCTTTAATGGTTGGCATGTCGAGGCAGGGAAAGAGAAGAGAGTATCCTGCGTTAATAGAGTGAACTGCTTGAGGAAGCAAAACTTAGTTGTTGATGCAAGTAATCTGTAACCTACAGTTCATCTCGTAGCCATAATTATGAGGACCATCTGTAATGAGGTTGCATTGTTTGCAAGTGTAGGAGGTGGGGATACCTGTATAGTAAAGAATAAGAAATAATGTATATGATGATGAAATGTGTATGATGGTAATAGCAATGACTGTGGTGGTTGTTGTGTTTGTCTCTTTTTTCTATAACCATATGTAATCCATTTTTAAAATGTATCTTCATATTTGGGTTTGGGGTTATATTTTAGTCAAGGCAGTGGACTTGATAGCTAGCAGGGTCAGCCCTTGGTAGTTATTGAGTCGATCCCATGGTCGTTTTCCCATGAGGTGTTTTGTTTCAAATGATGCTGCTGATTTAGCGGACAGTGGTCCCATTTTGTCTGTATTTAACACATCTGTAGTGACCAGATCAAAAGCTTGCCAGAAGAAAAATTGTGAAAATGCTGGAAATCATTTTGAGGACCTCTTTTTTTCCTTTGTAAAGCTGTAAATACTTTTTTTATTTTCTATTCTTAACGCAGTGTCATATTGACACTTTTTTAGACTTATCAGTAAATCCTCCTCATTGTTTTTTTTCCTCATATTTTTTAAAGAGGATTTCAAGAAAGCAAACTTTTTTTGCTTGTTAGCAGTGTAATAAGGTAGATCAAATTCCTAAAATGGATTTGTACAAAAACAGTGTTTTCAGTGAATAAATCTCAGTGCTTTTGTGGATGCATGTTCTTCAAAAAGTCCAAAGAATCATGTGGTACAAACATTTTTCAAGGATTTAATAAATACCACGTTAAGTCAGGCAAGAAACAAGGAATGAAATCATTTTTTTTAAAGTATGGGTTGGAAAAACATTAAATGCAACTCAGAGAAATGTGTAATCTAGTTATAAATAAAAGTATATTCTATTTTCTAGATTTTTTTTTAAACGTGCAAACAGAAGTCAGCAAATACAGGTCTTCCTCTGTAAAGTATTCTCTGTTTGATGGGACTCCAAATTCTCAACACTTTCAAGTATCAGCATGAGAAACAAATGTAACAGGTGTGGCTGGCTGTGAAACACTCCTACCATCTCTTCCTCATAGCAAGAAAAACATATGTTGCGAACGTTACTGTAACTGCAGAATTATTTTTCCCCATCTTCACTGATTCCAATGCCTTCTACTAGAGGGTGAGCATGGACTGGCATCTATTCTGCTAACCACAAATGATACTTCAGATGCATTTTTTACATTTTTAAAATTTTACCTAGAATAAGATTTGTATTTTACCCTCTGGCAGGGTAGAATATATTTGGACTGCAATTCAGACTTGAGGGGCCTGGATTGCTAATTTCCTTACACCAGTATAAATGGGGAGTAACTCCATTGAATTATACCAGTTGGAGATCAGAATCTTTCTGTATGTAGGAAGGCTTTTTAGAACTGTTGCAATTTCGGTATGGTAAAGGAAATAGTAACATAAAATACTTGCTATCAAAAACTGAAATTCCCATTGTCAGTCAAGACTCAGGGCAGATCTACACTACAGGGTTAAGTTGACCTAAGTTACATAACTTCAACTAAGTGAATAACAACGAGGAGTCCTTGTGGCACCTTAAGAGACTAATACATTTATTTGGGCATAAGCTTTTGTGGGCTAGAACCCAGTTCGTCAGATGCATCTGATGAAGTGGGTTCTAGCTCACAAAAGCTTATGCCCAGATAAATTTGTTAGTCTCTTAAGGTGCCACAAGGACTCGTTGTTTTTGCTGATACAGGCTAACGGCTACCACTCTGGTACGTGAATGACGTAGCTGGAGTGACATACCTTAGGTCGACTTATTGCGATGTCTATGCCGCATTGGTTTGACGGGAGAAACTCACCCGTTGACTTACCTTATGCTTCTCGTTCCGGTGGAATACCGGAGTCGACGGGCGAGCGATCGGCGGTTGATTTAGCGAGTCTTCACTAGACCCGCTAAATGGACCCTTGGTGGATTGATTGCTGCACCCACCGGTAAGTGGAGACAGACCCTTAGAATGAGTGATGGCATTGGTGGCACAGGAGTGCTTACAGCCATACCAGGAGCACCCATAAACCTGTTGAAATGAAGCAGATATTTGCTTATGTTTTCCTTCTTTCTATACTGTGGAAAGATCATATTGATGGAAGAATGTTTGTACCTGGAACATGTAGTGAAGAACATCTTAATAATGAAGGGCTTCTGACTGTGCTTCATTTTTGTGAATGCTACATCTTTGACCAGCATAATGTTTGAAAGGGAGTGCTGCTGACTGAACTCTCAATGCTTATAACGGTGGAAAACTTTAAAAAGGTCTTTCACCTAAGCTGGTCTGTTGGAATTTAAACTCTGCTTGGATAATAATGCTGACCAAGGATCCAAGGTGATACTCAGATCATTTCTTTCACATTTTGTTTCTAGACCTTCATTTAAAGGTGCTGGTGCACTAGCACAAAGATGCGGTATTTGGATTGCAGACACAGTAAAGGCATACTTGAAAAGTTTTTTCCTTTGAAATTATATAAAAATCACTGAAACATTCGTTGGCCTTAGTTTTTGTCAAATCTCATTTTCACAAAACCTAAATTTTAGACAAACTTTGGCCTAATAGGTTTTTATACCAGAGGCGTGGGGCACTAACAGATAATACCAAGATCCCAAATCATCAAGCAAACTTTACACATGTAGGTTTGTACCAAATACCATTTTTAAAAGTGTACTTGAAAGACTTACCTGTCAAGCTTTGAAGTTGGCTTCTTATTTGAGCTTAAATTTTCCTTTTTAAAATGTCTTCATATGCATTTGTGCATAGCTTTGGGGTCTTGATCTTTTGTATTTAAAGCAGCCTTTCAAAAAGCTCATCTTTTGAAGTAGCAGAGATTTTTGAGAGGCTGGATGAAGTTGGATGCTGAGGCCCTCAACTCATTAAAAGAG